GCCCAAATGGAATGCCATACAGCTGGGGTGGGTGGGTGGGGCCAACTGCAATCTCCACTACTGGTTCAGCCGAACTAGTCCAAACCAGTAGAATACCACCTCTGCTGACACTGCTGGGGTTCAGTGATATCTGAAGCATCACAAATGTCCCACTTCTACTGCATTGGGGGGGGGGGCGAAGGGGCGTTCCATTCCATTTCTAGTTGTATGTTTGTGAGTCATTCTAATTTTTTTCAAAAGGTTATTGTTGAGTCTATAGGATGGAAACTGAAGGCTCTGGCCATATTACCTTAGTTAAAGTATTTTATATTTCTGGATTAAAATAACAGTGGTACCACAAAGTGTGGGCGAAAGATGTTACAGTACTATGTTGGGAGAACCACGAAAAAAAAAGAGTCATCTGACCTCTCCCCTAAAGTAGGGGTCTCCAAATCTAACTTGTGGATTTCCACTCCCAGAGTTCCTCAGAGAGCCATGCCCTAGAGGTTAAAATTTAATCAAAAGCAAAGCCAGGCACTCAGAGTTAAACTAACTCCATTCAGCCACTTGTGTTGTGAGAACATTTAAATCCAATCATCTAGTCTGGTTTGCATCTCTAGTCCTCCAAAAAGAGAGGGGGGAGGAAGAGGGAGGGAGAGAGAGAGAGTAACCATCTTCCCATACTTAGCGAAGATTTCAGAATAGGCTTTCCAACCACTATTGTAATTAAGCCAGTACTTCTGATCCATGATGAAGGGATAGTCATAGTGAGAACATTTAGCCTTCTCAGTAGTTTCCTGTCCCTTTTTGAAGGAGGTAAGTGAGGCTCCAGTAACTCTATAACCCAGTTAGTGTGACTGTCTGCTTCCAGACCATTCAGCCCTATGCAAATAAGCTTTCTAGATCATGCACCGTTCTTGCTTCTAAAATGGCTTTTTTAGAACTGCACCTGTCCCGTTTTAATTTCCAAACTTTGTGCAGACCATGGCAGATCCATACTCTACCACAACTCCCTTCTCCTTCCAATCACGTTGGCTTCTCTCTCTGCCCCCATTTCCTCAGCTGTTCAAACATGTGCCTGAGTTCGTAAAACCCAGTGCATAACAGTNATGGGGAGAAACAAGCTCAGACAAAACCTTACTAAGAGGTGCTCTTCGTGTGTAAACATCTTGGCTTCTTGGAAACATCAATTCTGCTGGTTGTTATAGATAAGACTGTGCTCCCTCTCTCCCTCCTTTAGAAGAGATCCTTGGGGATCCTCTTGGATTCAAAGCTCTGTTTGAATATGTTCAGCTGGTGTACCAGATATGCCCCTATTTGGACAAGGAAACTTTAGCTACAGCAACCTCCTGTCACCTGACCAGATTCCTATAATGGAGAATTGCTTTTGAAGACAACTCAGAAACTGCAAGTGGTAGAGAAGACAGCAACCAGACTTCTAATATGGGAAAAACATACAGCAGAACAAACACAATCACACCATTGCTATGGTTACTAAACAATTCAAATATGTGTAATTACAGGTCATCCTTGACTTACAGTCATTTGTTTAGTGGCCGTTCAAAGTTACAGTGGCACTGAAAAAAAATGACTTACAACCAGCATACTCATTTAGAACCACAGCAGCATCCCTACAGTCACATGATAAAAAACCAGGTGCTTGACAACTGACATGTGTTTACAATGGCTGCAGCATCCTAGGTCACGTGATCGTCATTCATGACCTTCCTGGCCAGCTCCTGGAAAGCAAAGTCAATGGAGGGAACCAGACTTGCTGAACGACCATGTGATTCACTTAACTGAGTGATTTACTTAACAACCATGACAAAAAGGTCATAAAATTGGGCACGGCTCACTTATCAACTGCTTTGCTTAAAAAAGGAAATTCTGGTCCCAATTGTGGTCATACGTTGAGGACTATCCATACCTATAAAGCCCTATATGACAAGGTGCTGGTTCCCATTAGAGACTCCTCACTAAAACATGACTCTGCCTGTCCAGTTGTCAAGAGCCAGTTTGCATGTTAGTAAAAAGGGTATGAATCAAAAGACTTTTCTGTAGCTGACCCTGCATTGTGGAAACCTTGCACCCACACACATGAGATTTCAGAAGGGACTTAAGAGCATTCCTTTCCAGCAAGACTTTGACCTGAAACAAAGATTTCAAATGGCCGCCTAGTTCTCTTTCTGTTCTTGTGTTCTTGTACTAATTTATCTCAGTTGTCTGGTATACTATTGTGTAGTGGGCTTCAGTAGGCAAGAACCAGACCAGCATAGTTACAACAGTATTTATTGACTCAAAAATGGAACTAAGGAACTGCAGTCAAATGCCTGTGATTTATACTCTAGGCCCACAGGGCCTTAACCAATCATAGAACTAGAAAAAGCTGGCCCAAATATAAATGTTCTAATTTTCCCTCCAAAACAGTTGGGGTCATCTAAAGGTTAGTTTCATTTTAGCACAGTTAACACAACTATATATATTCAATACATAACACACACACATACACACCCCGGATAGTTCTTATTCTCAGTCTGTTCAACATTCATAGTCTTTGAGATAGGCTGGGGGCCCACGGATCCTGGTGGACCGCTGCAATGTTACTGGAGAGTCCTGTTGAAGTGGAGCATTGTCCATCTCCAATTGGACAGAGTCTTGATGGCCATTTTGGTCACCCGTGAGTGGTGGCGGCTCTACGGCCCTTGGTACCTCCATTTCTCTGGGGGTGGCCACGGGTGATGTAGGCAGACTTGGAGGAAAACAGTCTTCTCGTGGGTCTGATAAAACCTTGGGATCCTCATCCGGGACTGGCCCGGCCTGCCAATGCCGTAATTGATCAATGTGGCATCTGATTGTACGATCATCCCCCAGAGTAACCTTGTATGACAAGGGACCCATTACCTTAGTTAAACTAGCTGCCACCCAAGGTACCCCACTCCCATAGTTCCTGGCTCAGACCAAGTCACCCAGCTGTAAGTACCTTGGGTGGTGGTGGTTGGCTGAGCCGTCTCTGCCACTATTCTGTCTGGGTGAAGTCGGTCGAGCTTTGTTGTGAGCCGGCGGCCCCAACTAAGCTCCGTTGGGCTGCGACCTGTTGTTGTACAGGGAGTCGTGTGTTGACACAGGAGGACGTTTTCCAGGCGGTGATTCCAGTCCCCAGTCATCATCCACTTGAGTGCCTCCTTTGTGGTCCTGACCATTCCTTCGGCCTGCCCATTGGTTGCGGGGTGGAATGGAGCAGATGTTACATGCCGAATCATGTTGGCGTTGAGGAATGACTGAAACTCTTCTGCCGTAAATTGTACCCCATTGCCGGACATGATCACATCTGGCAGACCATGCATGACAAACAGCCGGTGCAACTCTCGGATGACTGGTTGTTGTCATCAATGAAACCGGTGCCACTTCCAACCACTTGGAATAACTGTCCACTACTATCAGGAACACCTGCCCCTGGAAAGGGCCTGCAAAGTCAATGTGCACGTGAGACCATGGTGTAGTCTCCCAGCGGTGCACTGGTACTTGTGGCATCTCCAGTTGGGTATCTTGGCAGGCCTGACAACTCCTTACTTGATTCTCAATGTCTTTGTCCAGGCCTGGCCCCCACAAGTAGCTCCTGGCTAGAGCCTTCATCCGAACAATTCCTGGGTGCCCCTCATGTAGGGAATCCAGCACCTTGGAGTGAAGACTGGGTGCCACACACCCCAGCCACACCTACCCAGGTTTTGTGGCTACCTGTGTTTTCTGTGGGAAATGGGTCATGTGACTGGGTGAGCATGACCAACTTGATTGGTCTCACACTCACAATAAAATAGCACTGTTCCAATATTTAGA